GAGTAAAATTCACGCTACAGAGGGTTGCATTTAACGTTAATCGCGGTTTAAATACAACGTACCATCGCACCACCTTATGAAATCTGACGAATTCCGCTCGTTTCAGATCTACCTGCCGCGACCGACGATGTGCCCCGAGGAGGTGTACAGGATGATGTGCTCGTGCTGGCGAAGGGACGAGACCTCGAGACCCACGTTCAAAGACATTTACACGTTTCTGAAAAACATGATCACGGACTACCGACCCGGTGCATAAACGATCCCAGTTAACTGTGATAATAACGAACGGAGTATCTCCTTTTAGCTGACGCCGAACGTCGAAGAAGTCGAACCGATCCCCCGAGTCGAACTCTTCCCAAGTGTACAATCTTTTAGTGTGCATGCGTTTTGGGAGTATCGATCCGCTTCCATGATCGAAAAAAATGTGTCGACAGTCCTAGGCGACGATAACAGAAATTTCGCTCTTGGTTTCTGCCACTGATACGTCGTCCAGGAAGAACAAGGGCAGACACCGTGCCGGAGAGTGCGAGTAATCGTCGCCTCCGATGTTTTCTAGTCAGTTCGGTCCTTCGTATTCCTACGAGAAGTGCTATCGTGTATGTACATACAGTATTCTGGAGACTGGCGACGCGTACGCTACGATGCTAAGCACCGATAAGTCTATCCACTTGTACATACGAATCTAGATATCGACGCTAGGCAAACGCAGGGAACTTCTCGCGACGGCTGGTGCCTCGAAAGGGGGCTCGATCGTTCCTACCGATTTCAGAACGAAACGAGATCACACACTCGTCTCGTCGAGTCGATCCATGCTCGATGCGTTGGATCGTGTCGCGTAAAGTTGCTACTTGTGTAGAGAGAAATATTCATTTTGTTTACCTGGCAAGGTGTTGGATTCAACTGGTAACATTAGGCTGTTGATATTATGTTAGACGAAACTGTGAAAACTTTGTTGACGAATATAGACATTGTATTAATTAAGCTTTCGATTGATAGCAATTTTTTTTAAAAAATGCAGTCCTATGCAATATAAATGAAAACTTGAACTGCCTTCGTATCCGAAACCGAAACTGAATAATTCAGATACAAAATTAAATAAAACACCCTTGTCAAGTAAACAGTGCCAATACACTGCACAACCTAGAACCTGAAGCACAAGCAATCCTTAATTGAAGAAAATTTGGCGACTTCGCGCGGTACCAACCAACGACTCGTGTGACGTCGAATCGAATGACGTTTCCGGTTGATTTTCGGATTAGTTTCGTTAATATGCGTTCGATCGATTCGATGGAATCGAATTCTCGAGGTGAAACGCCCGAGGTTCCTATAAGCGATCGCGGGACGACTCTAGATGAAAATTACGTCTCACTTGTGTACATTCGAAGGTAGCAAAGTACTTATATCGTTCCATTGTATTCCTTTCCGTTCGAGAAAAAAAAAGTAAATAAGAATGAAGAGATCTCACTATCTTTAGCGGGCGGTAGACTCTCGAGACCCGACTGTAAGCCTGTTCTTCGCGGGAACGCGACGCATATCCACGCTCCTTCTTTGATCTACGATTAAGGGCAGATGTCAGCATTGGGCAGATTTTCGACCTAATGATCGACGATGGCGATTGAAACGGTTAATCGTTGGTTGTCGTGCACGATTGACAAATGGAGTGGTGGTTAAACGATGGTTTAAGTAATCGTTATTCGCTGTGGCCCATTTCTGATTGGGTTAATGATTAATCTTCAATGACTATTAACGTTGACGTTGGTCGATTAATTTTAAATTAGAGTTTCATGCAATATTGTTTTATAATGAAATGTATAACCACGATGCTGTTTATAAACAGTGGACTGAAATAGAATTAATCTATTTCCAAGTATAGTAGGGAAATAATGATAGAGAAAGATATAAATAATGACGACTGAAAAGTACAAAAATCGTGACATTCGGACCTTGATTATTTATAATAGTTTAACCATTAATTCTTCTGTCAATCGTCAATTGTCTTCGACACCTAAAACATCGTTAAACCTCTTCAGACAAAATGTACCACATTTCAAAGCCGCGCAAAACTCATACCATAGCAAACAACAGACGACTGTAATACTTTTGTCCATTTTTGTACTTTCGCTCACTAAAATGCACATAACGTGGCATCGAGTGAGATAACTGCAATCAAAAACCCGGCCATAAGACAAATAGAAAACAACCGACGAATATTTGAATGTACGATGAAAGAATACATTAATACATTTGCATGTATATTAATATTAATGTATTCTTTCATCGTGCATTCAAATATTTGTCTATTGTTTCTCACGTGTGCACATTTCTTCGTAAGCTACAATTTGTAAAAAATATAATCAATGCGAGGAGTGTCTTTTATTTTGTTTCAAACTCGTTGACGCGCAAAATGTCGCAGACTAAACTAAAAATAAAATATACACTTGTCGATTTAATCAATTTTACGTACATAGGTCTGAAGGGGTTGATCAATTTGTTGACTCGACGAAATTAGTCGATCGATCGACCAACTCTGGCGAGGATTCGCAGGAACGTAGCGACTGTTATGCTTCGTGAGAAATCGATACACACGTTTTAGGCTGGCGCCTTGCTCGAATTTTTCGAACCGCGAACGAACGTTTGAACGCGACAATGCAAACCAACTTTTGTCGATTCGACGCCATTAGGGACGATGGACCGCTGCTGGTCGTGAGGAAAAGAGAAAAAAAAAGGGAAAACGAGTTTAGAGTTCGCTCTTGGTTAAGTGCCAAAACAGAGTCAGGCGTTCAAACGTTCCCCTCTGCACGCACCTTTCTGTAATTCTTAAGATGGATTCAAGTATACGTTCAAATGATTAACAATAAAGTACCGAGTATTCCTTTCTGACTGTGGCTACATTCATTCTTTCTTTGCGTCGGGGACGAATTTATATTCATTACAAATGTACGTGTTACGTTAATTGAAATCCTTTTTAACCACTTAACTTACAATGTCGTGTCAGAGACGTGGTAAGTTGACCGACCCAAACATCAACAAGACGTATCAGAGACGTGAATGTCCCGACGTCTGACCGACACTGTTACCGTTTACGGCGCGCGTTATTGGAAATTAAATCGTAAGGCAAAGTGTCAGTAGGTAATTTAGAGCACCTACACCTTGATTCAATATTTGCAAATGAAACAAATTTTAATCTAACCTCTCGAGGTCCTGGTCTTCGAGCACCGCGCTCCAAAAACAGAACTGGTCGAACGGAAGTAGTAGATGCGCGTAATTGGTGCGCGAACAAGTACTCTGGAAGCAATAAATTATCTGTTACCATTTGGGTGACTCGCGATGGCAGAACAGGTTGCCCGCTGATTAAAGCGTATGTATTGTTGCAACCATTAGCACCTTTCCAGCGGTGACCTGAAACAGGGACAATGTTAACACATGATCGAGTAAGTGAGCACGATTCTTTTCAAAAGCCGACAGAAAGATAAACTTGAGAAAACGCTGGCGTAAACAAAATTATCCGCCAGTTCAACCGAATCCGTCTTTCACCGAAAGCGAGATAAGTCAGAGATAAAAATAAGATCACGTACAAGGAAAGCCCCGCGCCATGTTTGCTTATTAACGCTTGCAATTGTTCATGGAAAGAATCTTTCCTCGAATTTGAGGGACGTCGAAGCGAGTCAATGCGCGCATCGCAAACAGTCTGCACCCTTGAAAAAATCCTTTTCTGGAAGTCCCCGAGACTGGTGTGCATATACCGCGTAATAACGAGGCCAGCAAAGATAAAACAAAGTTTTCCTCGGTAACGACGTTACCCGTTTACCTTTGAAGAAAAATGTTTGCCTGTTGAGAAAAGGATAAGATAACGCGTGAACGACTTGCTTCATAAAAACGGTAAACAAAAGGAGTACGTCCTTTTAATCGCATGACCGAGTCACCTTTAAAAAAATGTTCCGAAAAAAGAGAAATACTAAAAACGTTTCGATGGTTATGGTAAGGAGCCACAGATGACAAGGTTGAATCATCGAAAGGCCCGAGTCACTTAAATGCATATCTGAACGATACGGATGGACCGCTACTCAGTGGTCCAAAGTGGTATCTTTAAAGCAAAATTCCATGCTCGATCGGATTCCTACTAAGTCGATATCTTAAAAGGTTGCCAGAACAATCGTTGGTTGGCCAGGCATGACCGACTCCACGAGGTAGTTCCATTAAAACCACGGAACGCTCATAAATCACTGGTAAACCTTTTATCGGCACAATTCGGATAACATTGCTTCACGTCGAGAGGAAGCTCATTAATCTTTCCCTAGCGAAGTGCATGGATCCGGTTCGATCATAGAGACATGGTCGGAAAATTGATGGGGATTTTACAGAGGTGGGGAAGGGTGGCGAAAAGGGTTCTGCCAGACGTGATCTCGTATCGACTTGATGGCTTTCAGCAGTGGAATGACATTCTGAGAAATGGTTCAAAAAATATGTATCGTTAATACATATTGGGTTGATTCATACGTAACTTTCGCTGTAGATAACAAATAATTGTTGGTAGTTATTTTTAGTTCGGTTGCTAAATGGGAACAAGTGATAATAAACGATAGTAGTTATATAATTATGATTTATCATGTAATATGTTTGGAAATAAATTGTAAGGTATGAAATTGAAATTATTAACGAATCAACCTAATAACCGACGTGCAATTCTTCTTTTACATATCTATCTATATCATCTAATCGTTCGATGAATTAAGTTCTTTGATGTTATGTTAGAACATTACAGAATAATGTATCGATACTTTGTTGATTCCTACTTGGTATCGTTTTCCCACGAATAGAACACGTTTTCAACATCTACGATAACGCTTGCATCAGAGCAATAACACTTCGATACCACACGTCGTAACGGTAATAGCGATGGAATATCTGCGTTCTCCGAAGAGATTTCCTTATATCGAGCGCTGTCGATTGCTCGAAGGGGAAGCACGGACGTTCAGGAAATCACCTCGATCGATCGAGGTGCTCGAAGACGGAGCTAACAATATGTTCGTACACTGGTTCCCCCGATAATGAAATGCACGACGACAAAACGGCGTCGAGCGTGCGCGCGTGTTTGGCCCACGCGAGTGTGCGTGTCGCGTAACGCTGGTCGCTTACGTTTATATAATGCCAAGAGCCGGGAAAGTGAGACCATTGAATCGTCGACTGTTAAAGAGACACGCGCACCTCGAACATCAACGACAACATGAAGAACAGTCGAATCAAGTTCTGTCTGCCTGTGGTTCTCGCTATCCTCGTGCTGGCCACTCTGCATTCCATTGGTAAGAAATCTTTCATCTATCCATTTTCATTCCTCTGAAAGTTCCTGCCTTCGAAGTCGAAGATTTCAGCATCAATTTCCGTTATCGTTGAATTTAAACGCCATTTAGTATCGAATGTACGAATTAATCGAGTAACAAAGTGTATAGATATAGATAAGTGGTAACTTCTTTTATGCGTAGTATAAATATTCTGAATGATCAATTACGCAATTTATGTCTATGTTATCATTATTACATGTAAGTGGGAAAACGTTGTGAAATCTCGAAGCCAAACAGTATTACATACATATGGAAATAAAAGTCTTATTGATCGTTGATAGACGGTAATATTATACAATTTATTAAATAATTTGTCGAAGATGATTGCTTGTAACGCGTAGATCCAATTAAAAACGATGGGAAACGCCGATACCACCGTGTGTTTAATTATCTTTATTGTATGAAATGGTTGTATAAACATTTATTTCTTGTAAACAAGAAGGAATCTCAAGGAAAACTCTTGACATTTTCTATTGCTTTCCCGTGTAACCCTCGCGATCTTTGTTGTTCGGCGTTTAGCTTTAATTTCATGGATTATAGATTTCACGACGAGGCTACATGCAGACCCAAAAATAGCTACAGGTTCTCCTTTGATCGCTCGGAGAGCGAATGGCTTTCTTTACCGCAACATAAAAGCGTCGCGGTAAATTGAAACATGTGCCCCAACCGACCCCTCAACCCTTCCTTTCTTCCCGCCCTACGATCCCATACTGTATACTTTGAGAGGGAAGTGGACAAAATTTAATTCACTGTTCATTTAGATTAGTTGATATGTAAACATACAAACTAAGCAGATAAAAAAGTCAATTGTTTAGAATCCAGTAAAGCACCGAATCTTTAAATATATTCAGCAAACTCGATAAAAAGTCCGCGTTATCAAAGAAAATTATTATTTCGAAAGATTCCACACGTGAAAAATCTGTTTTCAGAGTATGTAGCTGCTGAAAGAGTTTGTCGTCCGGAGAACTGTTTCGATTCCTCGATGTGCGAACTCGTGCAGGCAGGTGGACAATGCCCACAATCGACTGACACGTGCTGCAGCGTAGGTACGTTCTCTTAACGTTTCGTTACCGTTCGTGAACGAAGCAACAACTGTAGAACCTCGATTATTGTCCGAGAACTTTGTTACTTGCGTGGTGTCCACAAATAGAGGGGATGTATGCTATGCAACATGTAGTAGAGGGGATATACTGGGGGGGACTACAAGCCGCTGAATTGGTTCCCTCGATTATTGCCTAAGAACCTCGTTAATTGCATGCTATTGACAAGTAGAGCTGGTTCATGGAGTAGGTAGTCACTGCTTGTAACTTAATCCTCGATTATTGGAGGAGTTCCGAGACTCAATTCTTGCAACAATCGAGGTTCATATCGTCGAATCGTGCCAACGAAAACGTAAACGAGACGTTTCTAAACTCACAGCCTGAATTGTTGTCCTCTTGAATTTGTTATTTTTCTCATTGGTTACACGTGTCCGTTATTGGTTGTACGCCAGTTTACGTTGAAACGTCACGCTTTCGTTTATTCGTGTCACGGCGCAAAGTAGGTACACAAGAGCGATGGTAATTACGCGGCGGTAACGATAACGTAACCGTGCGCTACCACTGGATATAGCAATTTCACGCTCCCCGGTACCGGACACACGCAACGCCCGTAATTTCTACTGTGCCAAATCGACCATTCTCGAGATTCACTTTTGCGCGCCGTGAATTTCGAACGACTGACGAGTCAATTCATACGTCACTGTCCGCACTTTCACGAAACATGGCGCCTCGTCTGTCGGAGCTCTGACAACTATGACCAAGATTTTATTTGAGTATCAAATGACGAATGAAAGCAACATATCGAAATTTAATCGAAATAATCTTAGAAATAAACGGTTAAATTTTTAGCTGTTTATTCTGAAATATTTTATTCTACAATTCCAGCTCCATGCGGGTAACAAAGTTCTTTATTGATTGATTATGAAAGTGAGGTGTTTAAAAAAGAAAGACTCGTAGAAATTTCATGAGAACTCATCCGAATCAAATAAATTCACTGAGAGAAAAAAAGATCGAGTATCATAACGACGCGATAACGAGTAAAGTATAAAACGAACGTGCGAGAATATATAATAATAAAACAAAATACGAAATAAGAGTGGACGCAATAACCCGTTTAATTAAATTCAAAATAAAATTCACCGGTTCCTCGACATTCCGCGCGTTTCCCGTTATTTCAAGCGACGTGATTTCTGTCCGCAGTGAAAAAGGAGCACAGAACGCACTGCCACCAGCACGGAGGCGAATGCATGGACAGCTGCAACAAAGAATTGCAAAACCTGGTTAGCGATTGTCCAGCCGACAAAGTCTGTTGTACATTAGTTTAAGGCAATGTTTGTTCACCTTTTCCAACCTCACGGCATAGTTTCACGGTGGAGTTTAATGGAACATTCCACCTTTGTATTTGTAATTTCAAACGCTGAGAGAGAAGGATGCCTGGCTCGATTATTTATATTCAAAGCTAATGCTTCTTTGTAGTAACAGTTTGAAAAGGTATAGATAATAGAAATTCGTCGGATCTATTGCCAAAGATTCGCTATTCGTTAGTTTAAGGGAACACAGAGAGCTAAGTTAACATAAGCGATTGCGACAAGCGGCTACGGCGTGTCCGTTCGCGATGTTGCGTGTAATAACGCGAACCCAGACATGCTGCATTTGTTTGCAGCACGGTGGAAAAGCCACTTAATTGGTTTTACAATTACAACGGTGCATGCACGGGGCGAGGACTCGACGAACGAATGAAAAATCGAATACCCCGCGAGATAATTACCAAGGCACGAGGGATCCGTCACGAATGTGAACTCGTCGACGATAAATAGCGCGAACGTACGCTGAAGACCTACAAAGAACGCCCCTGGATGAAATTCAGACGTAGAATTAAAGTAGAATGTAGATGAAATTCAAGCTCAAGCAATTTTTGATTAACACAATTAGTAATAAATCATTGCTTTTTTCAAGACTGGAACATAATTTGAATCGTACATACTTACGTCATTGAAACACTTATTCAACTACATAAACATCATATATTTTGATGTATATAGAGTATACGATGCTTAACACGGCTAGGAATATGTTTTTTTTTTTATTTTTGCAAATGATACGTAAAAATCCTTTACTTTAAATAGAAAGAATAATTTTCTAAAATAAATTACGTTTGGAATTCCTCAATGCCTTGTATGCCTTGTAAATAGGACACTGCCACTCACGAGTAAGAGAAAAGAAAATTACAGAGATTTCAACGAGAACTTCGATCAAATGAATTAATAACTGATAAAATTGTTATTATAAAAACGCAATTTATGAGCTAAAGAACACTCGTCAGGGGCATTCTTTACAGTTCCTCGCGGTAAACCTGCCACTCGAGCGATGGATTTATTGTAACGAAAGAATGTGTGCGAGAATGCGTTGCGTTAAATGTTGCACGCCTACGTGGCGAATATGTATTTATAATAAAATATGTGTGCTCAGGAATTCTGAATTTATTGCTCGACCTTCTCACCCGATAGGAGAGCGCGCGATTTATGTACTCATTCAAGAATGGGAATTCTCGGCTTCTGCTTCTCACGGAAATGTTATCGCGGCGCTGAACGTATTTCGTCCGATAAAGCAGGCGGTGACATAACATCCTCGAGAGATAGCTGGCAGATCGTAATCTGCGCCGAACAATGAATGAATCATAGCGGAGGTCAGTTACCCGTGTAATCGGCCACTTTATGCGTCTCTCAAGAGTGTTTCTAGGTTAAATCTGTTCAAGATTCGAGCGTGATTTAAAAATAAAATTGCTCTACGTGAAGCAACACCTGTCGATAAGCCCTATTAGTTACAATTTTCTCTAGAATAATAATGAAATAGGAGGAATGTGAATATAAACATTTTAAATAGATTAAGAAATTATCAAATTGAGGGATACAAAATTGAAGTGCAGCAAATCCTACATAATGGCAAAGTGAAATCAGAAATCACCACTTAAAATTCAACGTCCCCAACCACAAGTTCAGGTAAGAGGAACTGGTTACCAACGATGAATAATATACATTAAAAAAAAGTTAACCGTTTCTTTTGATTGAAATCATTACCGGAAGTAAATTGATCCTCGGATCGATATATCCAGCCGACGATAGAGCTTGTTAATCTCTCTCTTTGACGGCGTCCTCGGTAAATAACAGAACGATCAACATCGTCGTGGCACGTAGCTGGGCGAACTGAAAAATACAGGAAGGACGCGCAAGAAAATGAAGAGAAGCAGGAAGAAATAAGAATTAGATGGAAGGGGCACGCGTTGCCCCGGGCGATGCAGCTCGAGCGTTTCATAGAGCGCGAACGCACGCACAGGAGATTTAGGACCGTGTTGGTCAGCCCTCGAGGGGTTCGCTCGCAAAGAATCGCGCAGCACAGCGGAAAAAGGAGAAGTGAACGCCACGGGGCTCCTATCGTCGGGCGTATGAACATCGAGATAAGGAACTGGACAGTGACGCGTTCATCGATGTGAATTAATGCCGTAAACTGTTCCCGTGTAAACGTATAACACGGCCGAAAGAGATGGCCACGTCTTTTTAAACGCTGGAATGAATCTCCGTCCACGTCAATCGCGACCGAAGCGGAAATAAAGAAGCAAAATAAAAGCGATACCTTGCCCGCGGCGATACACGTCGAACATGTGACACTAAATATAGAGACACGCTAACGCTACGAGGCGACGGAACGGTCCGAAAGGTAACGATATAAAACGTTCCACCGAAACCGTAGGAAAGCACAATATAGGAGAGAGGAAAATTCTAGGTAAAAACTCAAGCATGCGGGACTGGTCGGAAAAGTGGAATAGTAGATTAAAAGTTAATAATGGGAGATTGAATGATAATAAGGAGAAGCGGGGAGCTTTCGTGATAACAGTAATTTCGTTAGTTACCTTAATCGTTACCCCTACTTATCCCTAAATAACAGAGGAAATGAAAAAATCCTAACAAATAGTGCAAACAGAACTAATATAAAAAAAAAAATTCCACGACATCTCTCACTCGTCATTCCCGGTTTCGCCTACCCCCCTACCTACAGCTCGAGGCTGCGACAGCCCGCGAGGCAACGCAGAGGGAACGGAATTATCAAGAAGAAGAATACCAGGTACGTAGGCCAAGAAGAAGATGATGAAGAAGGGGTACACCGTGCCCGGAGCGCTGCAGGCAGATGCCAGGCACGTTGGTGCGCGTACTTACATATACACACGCGTAAGAGCCGTTTCGGTTAGCCCCCGGGGCCGGAGGCGCGGAATCATGCAGCGTAGAAGAAGAAGGAGGTCCTCCCTCTCCCTCACCACTTCGTGGCCTCCGTCGTTGTGTGGAAGTTGCCCTCGGGGGCAGACGCGGAGGTATACCCCACCACCAAGTACGGCGGAGCAACGGTCGTTCCGCTGCGGGCACGGAAACGAGAGGAGATAGCGGCGAGCTTCGTGCACGTCCTCTGCACCCTCTCCTACCCCTACCTCCACTGTGAGACGGGCGAGGGCACGGAGGAGGGATTCCACGGTGCCCTCAGGATATCCAGCGAGACAATACGCTCCGTGAGCCCTCGGGCGACTTCACGACGGACCGTGCTTCTCTTCCACCTCCTCTTATCCTCCTTGCTCTCCCGTTTCTCTCCTTCACCTCTAGCTGTACCCCCTCGTATCACACATTCAGCCCTTTTCTTCGGTCCCTAGGTGCACCCTATTCTTTATCATTCTTCGCGAACGTCCGCGGCCTCCCCCAGAAGTAAACTGATGTTTATTGGGGACGGCAGCAAATTCAGGTGTGAATTTTAGTGATCAAGGTACAGTTATAAGGGTACGAATTGGAGAAATATTAGGTTGTTGCATATGAAATGTCCGATTGTTTGATCTCGGTAAGTTATCTTCATTTTGCCACGTCATTGTGATGGCAGATGTTACTTGTGTATAAGAGTAATTTGTGATAAAAATGCAATTGTTTAAATCTTTTCTACAAAATCGGACAACCATACCTTGGAATCCCTAACGTTCCATTGAATTCTATCGAAAAAAGAACATCCTGGATGGAGTTTCTTCTTTCCCAGTCGGAAATTCCACTGCCATTCCTTAATTGTAATCTAAACGCGTCGACGCGCAAAAACGCGTTCGACACGCTGGTGATTGGCGTTTCAGCGCGCGTCGCAAGCTGGTAGGTGCTCGAATGATATATCGCGATCGATTAACTCTTTCACGAGCAATCCATGTTCTCCTTGACGATTCCATAGCGACCAGCGTCTATATATCGCTCGGTAATTGCGGCTGGATAAGGAATCGTCGTTGAAAAAGCGCGTCGGCGCCCGCCTCGGTTATTTCTTTGCCAACGTTCGCCAATCAACGTCACATGTCATCCGCGTGGCCACGTATTCTCCTTCGCTATCAAGGAACACCGCATGACTGTTTCAATCCTCGATCGAAGAAGACGCGCTCGATTACGTCGACGTACGAATGAATGACGCGTTTATGAAAGGATTATTTCCAAATATAACTTACAGAAGATGATTCGAGAGGTTGATCAGAGGTTGATGATTCCGAGAAAACGCATGCAATTAAACGACACGTAAAATTAGCACATTATCCAAACGTGCTGATTGAACATGACGATTGTATACAGTAGAATTTTGAATCATTCATTTGAGATAATAATCGAATATGTACTTGTCGAAATTTTAACATTTTCGATACTTTTCAATGAGGAAAATATGTTGGTTTATCAACACTGTTCGTTAAAGAACGATGGTAGAGTACATTTCTTTAAAAAAAAAAAACATACAAATTAGAATCCACACACATGTACTCACTATAATTCAACAGAGGATGACTGGTAACTTTCGTGCCTAATACAAGGACCTCTAAAAAGAACTGCAAGATCTATCGAACGGTCCTCAACTTGCTTTAGGTCTCACGCTCAGGGGCAACGTACTCGTCGCTATCTAAAACATATAGCCACAGATAGATGAAATCCTCTCCAGGATCCCGCGAACAAAAGTCTGACCGCGTCATCAATTATTTCCGTCGCAACGAAACGCGCCTTCGTCGGCGGTTTTCGACCACCCCCTGGCCCGCAGTTTTCTATTTCTCCGCTCCCCAAATCCCCGGCGACACCGCCACGGCGACTTTTTCTTCGACACCCGAGGCGTCGGTGGTGAGACGCCCGCGAAAAATGGTCGCGCGCTCAGGTACTTCATTAATATTTCATTTCGTTGCTTATCGTTACCGCGGAGCCGCGCCGCGACGCGGAGGCCTGCCCCAGGGCATCGTTACTCCCTCCGAGCAAGCATACAAGGCGGGCGAAAAGGTAGAGAGCGAGAAAGGGCGAGGGCCACGGGAAAGAAGGGACAAATATAGAGCGGGCGCAACGAAGAGGAGGTACAAGCGAGCCGTAGTGCACTTTATTACACCGAAAGACGGGAGGAGAGACCGACCTTCGTCCCTGAGAAACAACGGCGAACTTTCCGCGCTCGTAATCGCAATCCTTGTTACGACCTCCTGTAAAACGACCGACTCGCCCCGGCGACCCTTATCCGTCTCCACCGGCAAAGACAGACCCGACAACCACCCTCTCGAACCGATTCGACGTAAACTGTTGGGGCGTATCCCGTGCTCTCCATCACCGTGGCCATTGGCAGTGTTGCGCTAAACTATGGCGATAAGGAGCAACCTAGGAAACGTCCTCGGAAGGGTAAGGGTACTTTAGAATTTCGATTCTCATTTCTTTGGTTTTCAAAAATTCGATTGCGTTTCACGAATGGTTCGTTATTTAACATTTACCTTCCCTCGAAACAGTATTTTAAACTTGTATGCAATATTACGAAGTGACGAGTGAATCGGTTGACTTGCATATTACTTACACGTGTCTGTATAACGTGAACCCCATAAATAAATTACCAATGTCGTTACTTTTTTTGTTAAAAATACATGATATTTTAGAAAAGTATGGTTTGTTGGAAGTCTGAATGTCAAATTTGTCTTTGAATTTTTCTTAAAAATTGGCACGAACTTTTTGGACAACCCAACATATTATCGACCTATACACATGTTCCAGGAGTAAATCACGAGCAACCCGCTCTGTTTCTTCCGTTGCACACCATGCAGAACCACAATTCCTACAGTACAGACATTCCTCCCCCAAGTTATTATCCGATTTGCTTACCAGCGACCGTGTTCGTCGATCCCTTTCAAAATGTTTCGCTTCTTCGATTCCTGATAAAACCGAATCGAACAAAAAGCGAAACCTTCGACACCTGGGTGGCTCGATTCCTCCCCCGAAAAAACATAATGCACAGCCACCCCCGGACACGTAGAGCAGCCAGCTAATTCAGCGACGCCGCGGTTTCGCGAACAATGTATGAAAATAACCCATTGCATACTTTTACTACGGCGGTTCATGTCAGCGTGGTTGCATTGCGATGAATGCGAGATACCCCGGGCAATTCCCTAATTGCAGTGAGAGGCAAACGAAGCTGGAAGGAGAG